TAACCGGAAGAGTCACAGCATTTTTGTTCGGTCATGCAATCATGCGCAACAACCAATTACACAGTTCTTGCGATCAGAGTTGATGAAATCTTGCAGCCAGGAAACATAGGCTATTTGATCGGTGTCGGTAGGTACGAATTAGAAGGACATTTGCTAAGCGGGTGCCAGGAGTAGTGGTAATATGCATATACTGTGGTTTAGGAGACCCGTTCTTTGTCATGGACGCATTTTTATTATTATTACAGCATATTCCAAATGTCAGACAGTAATGAGTATCGTGATTCTAACATCCTTGGTTGTCCAGTTCAAAGCCTTGCGTGGGCATGTAATAGTTCAGGGAATCCTGACGGAGGGCTCTGTGTACGGTCGTAATCAAGCTTCATTTCCTTGTGTAAAGGACGAGGAGCAATTGTGTAGGGATAAGAAAAACCTTATAACTGAATCATACTTATTGAACTTGGCATATAATGTAGCGTAAACATTCTCTATACATGTTTCGGAATACTGGTAGCTCGGGTGGAGGGTACAATTGTTCATTTGTTCTTCGAGCTTGGTGGCTTTGTCGCAAACGTTTCATCACCATGTGACGTGGCATCCTCAGTGCAGTGAGATGTGGCGTGCAAGGGATTAAACTATAATTACAGAGATGCAACAGCTATCGACATTTCAGCAGCATTTGAAAGCTCCCTACAAGGTAATGGGTTTTACAAAGAGACTCGGAGGCAAATAAGACACACAATTGTTTCTGCTATAACGCACTACAAGCGATACAACACCTTAACCAAACAAGGAAGTGAAGCAATGAATACCCTGAAGTCTGACAAAACAATCATTATCCTACCAGCTGACAAGGGACGAATGACTGTCATAATGGATTGGAAGGATTACATTGAGAAACCCACACGCCTCTTGAATGACACAACAAAATACAGGTGCATCGACACCGATCCAACTTCGCAGCTAACAAACAAAGTAAACAGAACATTGAAGCAGTTTCAGGAATTAATGAAAATCACGAAAGAAGAGCGCGACAGAATGACAGCCCGCAACTCAAACATCGCGCAATTCTACGGACTCCCAAAAGTGCACAAATATGATGCACCATTGCGGCCTATCGTGTGTCTCCCGGGAACACTCACCTACAACCTGGCGAAAGAAATGTGGAGACGCCTCAAGCATGTGACCTGTGGATCGCAATATTCCATAACCAGTGCCCAGTAGTTTCTGCGAAACATCAGAGACCTGCGAATAGATATTGATGAAACAATGATATCCTTCGACATGACTGCGCTCTTCACGTCTGTTAACTTGCAGATGGGAATAGCGGTCATAACAGAACGGCTGAACCAGGGTGAACAACAAATCAGAAAAATGACGACTGAAGATGTATACAAACTAGTCCACTTGTCTGTCAAGCTACTTCTCATTCAGTGGAAAGATTTATGAGCAATTGAAAGGCGCACAAAGGGGAGCACCTGTGTTAGGACTCATAATAGAGATGGTTATGCAGAAATTGGAGGAGGATGTATTACTGCTCATCGCTCCGAAACTGTGGGTTCAATATGTGGACGACACTTTTGTGATAATCAGGCGCAACCAAATAACAGTCGCACAACAGCTATTGAATAACACCATGGAAGGCATCCAATTTCAAATGAACCAAGGAGAAGTAAAACCAGCTCTCTTTCTTGGACGTCTTAGTAACAAGAACCATGGAAGGAGAGCTGCAAACATCGGTTTACAGAAAAGGCATACACACAGACCAAATTCTGAACTTTAACAGCGACCACCCGAAATGTGACAAAGTAAGCTGTGTGCGGGCACTGTTTCTCATAGTGCAAACACACTGCAGTACCCAGCAGTAAAGCAAAAGGAAGAAAAGTACCTATTTAAATGTTTTCAGCTCAAAGGATACCAAGGAAGCTTCATCCGAAGGCGTCGGAATCACAACAACGTAAATATACAGCCTACAACAACAGCAGCAGCCGCAACAAAACAACAACAACAACAACAACAACAACAACAACAACAACAACAACAACAACGGAGAGACGGGTCATTCTGCCCTATATGAAGAACATGCCGGAAATGGCAGCCAGCCAATTCAAACAGCATCGTCTCATCGTAGCACACAAACCAACTGTCACGTTAAGGAAAACCCTTTCAAAACCAAAAGAAAAGCTGCAGGCACATGAACAACGTAGTGTGGTATACAAAAATGGTTGCCGAGATTGCGAAAGGGAATATGTTGGCCGGACGGGAAGAAAACTGGTAACCAGAATACAAGAAGATGGAACAGCCTGTGTAAAGCATTATGCATCGTCGCTAGTTTCATTGCAAGTATATGAAAAAGGACATAGCTTTGATTGGAGCAAAGCAGAAGTCCTGGCACGGGGTGAAACAAGAAAAGAAAGGGGATTCCTGGAAGCTTGCTTCCCAACGAAAATCGCAGTCAACATGCGCGTAGACATCGATTAAATATACCAACCACTTCGATAGAAAGAAAGAAAGAACATTTTGTCACGCGGTTTAAGGCAGAACAACTCGGGCGCCGACTTCAGTCTTGGGGAAAGTGGGTAAAGGTCACGGGAGGCAAATAGATACTGCCACTTTCCAAAGCAACCTGTAGGTCGATCACGGATGGATAATTCATTCAGTAAGATTGCAAGCCGCGTCTTATTGCACTGAGGATGCAAACTCGTATGGTGGTGAAACATTTGCGACAAACCCGCCAAGCTCAGAGAACAAATGAACAATTGATTTTCTGTACATGGTAGCGTTGTTAAAAGTGTTAGCAAAAGTGATACGTCTATTATTTTTGGCTCAGCAACTATATGTATAGGCCGAGATAGATAGAGTAGGAGATTTATTTGTTAGGTGTGACTCGGACGTGAATGGTATTTGTCAACTGGCTCGGGCGTTTTTATTCACCTGTAGGATAAACGTATTCGAGTAAGAGAGAAGATGAACGCGAAATATTGGATATAGGGATGATGTTGGAAGCAGTATCGGTTAGATTTGTTTTGACGCCTGACATGTTCACGTGAGTGAAACAAGGGAAGCGTAGACGAGTAAAAAAGAATGTATCGCAAAAGTGAATGACGATGAATAAATTTAGTCAGCGACTGTTACCCAGCTCAATATATGGTATAGCTATAAGGCAGGCATGATATCGTAAGTAGAATTTGAAGGGTGAAGACCAAAAAAATATTAGCTCAATCAAAGTAATAAAAACCTCTGCAACACACAGATATTGGTGTGTCTGTATCGTAAACTTTCTCAAAAAAACAATGAAAGGGGGTCTGGAAAAGAAGACCGCACGAGGTGATGTCAAATTGGCGCTCTTCGTAAGATGCACTAATTAAGGAAAACGTAGACAAGCAAATGCAATGTACGCAGCATATTTAACGCATATTCGTAAACAGCAAACCTAAGTACCTGCCAATTTTGGAGCAAGCACATTTGACGTTGAAGTGGAGCTCCATAATTAAGACATCCTCTTCAGTTGCAGTGAGGTGACGGCGTAATTTTTGATCTATCCTTCATTGCAAACTCAGTCATTTCTATTAGTCAGTTTGTCTAATTTTGTGTCCAATGCAATCTTGCGCACGTTCTTTGTGATTTTGACTCCACGTTTAATTGCGGATTCCAGCGCTGTTCATAGCTGTCAGTCAAGAGTACTGACGCAGTTGGTTCTACTGTCGATTATGACTTTCTCATATTTGCGCATGAAGCTGTGGGCATCCGTTGTCATCAGTCTAAACATGTCTCCCATATTTTGTTGCTAAGTTCCATTCGGCTGGATGGCTTAACGCTCGTCTGTGGTTTGTACTCGCTGGCAACACGTTCAATCTCAGTTATACATGAAGGAAGTAGGGCTGTTCACGTGTGCAAGTTTGTCGGCAAACGAAGGTTTCCCAACGACGAGCTCGTTGTAGCGTTGTACGCCCGAATTGGTTGGCTATAGAATTGAAGAATGGGAGCTCAGGTTGTGCAGATGGCGGTTGAACTGTTCGCTGAGCTTGGTAATTTTGTTGCGAGCGTTTCGTCACCATTCGAGGTGACATCATCAGTGCGTAGTTAAGTGGCGTGCAGTAGCGTAGAGGAAACTCCATGAGAGGGCGCTGAGCCTGCTGCGTGTGTTTTTATATCATCGTGGTTAACCGTGGAGACGACAACCAATAGGATTGCTCGTGTCCACGGGCAACTTCCCGGCGGTATACAAACTCACGCACAGCACGCTCAGCGCACTCTCATCGAGTTTCCTCTACGCTACTGCACGCCACTTAACTACGCACTGATGATGTCACCTCGATTGGTGAGCAAACGTTTACAACAAAATTGTCAAGCTCAGTTCAACCGCCATCTGAATAACCTGAGGTATCAGTCTTCAATTCTCTATGAGCTTTAATGTGAGCTTCATGCGCTTTATCCACAGTGGCTCCAGTTTTAGCATCTTACATCGCAAGGAGTAGTTATGTCTGGACTATAAATTGAGAAGGTCTTTTATGGAGGATCGCTGCACATTTTCTAGACATAGTCATTTGCGTTTCATGCAGCTCGTAAAAAATGATTGAGCATACCTTTAACCTGTGCGGTTTAAGTTCACGCATCTTGAATGAGTTTAATTTGAATTTTGCACTTTTCGTGATATGGCTTTTATGAATACCAATTGCTCACCACAAGCCAGAGTATTGTTAACATTTTGTGAGAAGCACAACATCCATGATATACTGTCCTTCCCAATGTGGTAAATGCGAGCTAATATACGTTTAGATAAGTATCGAAGTTTAGGGGATGAGTTGAAGCTACACAGGTAGAAATATGGCTTCTATTTCGTACCCAGCCTTATCCTAAACCGTACTTGCGATTTATTAGCGAAAGTAAGGTCAATCGGTGACATATTTCTATGTTGTGCGTGCACCATTGCGCATTTATCGACTGATGCTTTCCGATATTCAGTGAATGTAATACAGTGCCCACTTGATCCTTCATCCAAGGCTACCTGCCGTGTCAGCCCTGGTGGAGACCACACTAGCAGAAATCATCAGGAACGTCACGATTGAAGTTATGCGAAAAGATCGGACTTGAACCTTTCTAACAAGACAATGTTGCAGCCATCCAGCGAAAAGCGAGGGGAACTATTCGGCGAAGTGAAGTTGCTATTTGAGCCATAGGCGATGTGAAGTTCTTTTGTAACGCAATGTTTGTTTATGCACACATCGTGGTCCCTTTTAACATGCATCCATATTGCACACTGATGAAATAAACGAAGACTTTGCAAATGTCTTGTTTCCTGCACTGAAACTACCACCGCCAATTTCAATCAAACGCAGGCGGTTGGCCCGAGTTCCATGCGTCCGCACGCCTAACGGTTGTGGGGATAACCGTGTAGGTACGTATGTGCTGTAGCACATGCGGTCGCGACTGATTGAGTTACGCGGGTCTAGTGAACCAAGAGCGAGGCCACTCGAGACCAGCATCGAAAGACGACGGGTCGTGCTGCGAACGTAAGCAGAACCAGCGCAGTGTTGCTAGATACGATGCATTCGATTTACTAACCGCGTGTTTGGGTGCTGAGTTTCTTTATTTCATGTGATCGGTTTGCTACGTTATGTTAATACACATTTCGTTACCGATTTTTAATGTCTATCTGAATAATTTTCTATTTACTTATACACCTCCTTTAAACGAAAGTTGGTTAAAATGGTCAATTTTATTCACGTTTCCGCGTGTTTTTATCTCATGTTCTACCATCTTAAGTTTATTGCGGATACGTTGATAAGGAATTTATTTCATATGCCAATTCAGTGAAGAGGTAAGTCGGCATATCCGTATGCCTTATCCGAATTATTTTATTGACATCGTCACTTCAAGGGATGGGCTGTTGTTTGACATCCTCGGTGTGTTTGGGCTCGAAGTGCATAGTTACAAGATGCCTACTTGTCTATTATTCACCACCTCTTATATGCGGGCTCCAGGAGACACTTGGTCATTGCTGGAAGGGACGGGGTGCAGAGTCTTCGTGACCGTGTTAGGTTCAATGAGTATTTCTATGCACATGGGTCGTGTGTGGAGCGGTCTAGGGCCTAACCACTGTCTTGTGTGCGCTGATTCCCCAAATGCGGAGTGCTTGTGTTTGCCTGTGAAGGTGTGTGGACCGGCAGTTGGTGAAACGTAACTCCAATCCACCTTCCTCCGTTCTTATTCCTTCGGGTTTGCGCAGGTTATGGGGTGTGTGAGTGGATGGTGTAGCGCAAGCCACCCATGGCCACTTTGTAGGCGCAGACGTCTTGTGGCTGTCCCTGTGGAGGCCTCAGTGACAGGCAAATCCTGAACTGGATGCCGCCAAATATACGTGTACGAAATATCAGGCAAATAATACGGATGATGCAGCACTTGCAATAAATCATCCCTGCAGTTCGTCTGAAGGCGTACCTACGTGTAAACTGTTTCATTTCAAATGCAGGCCGTTGGATGATTTCACAGATGTGATTGCGCTTCATGTAGATGTCGACAAGGTGCCCACCTTTCTAACACCCCCATCTCCGTTACTGGATCTAGGATACTATTAATCTTTGCTGGAGAGGGGGGCGGGGTGCACCATCCTCGTGACGGTGCTAGGCTCATGGGGTGACTCATCCAGTGTGGAGCGGACAAACGCCAAGCCATCAGGTTGCGTATGTCTGGTACGCATAAGTTCGCAATTAGTCTGACAGGAATGCCGCTGCTGTCCAAGTGGAAGGAGTGTGGGCCGGGTCCGTTGATGAAAGGTGGCTCCCATCCACCTGCCTCCCCGTCTTATTCCTTCGGGTTCACACCGGATATGGGGTCTGTGGGTGGAGTTGTGCGTGATGCAGCGCAATCCACCCATGGTCCCTTTATAGGCGCAGGCTTCCTGTAGCTGTCCTATAGAGGCTACCGTGACAGGCAAATCCGAAGCCGGATGCCGCCAAACATGTGAGTTACGTTTAGTATGCTTCACTGTATTTGGGCTAAACCGACTTACTCTTAGCTTTCTAGATTTACTCAGCTCCTTTTAACCTACGCATACGCCCTGTTGATTTCGCATGTTTCTTATTTTTCATTTTCGATGTGAGTCGGCTGATATCCCTTGATTTACACTTACATTTGCTCAAGATCACTCTAACAATAGATCATAATTCTTACACTTTTGCAAATTGCTCAGTTCAGTCATCCTGCTGAACATTTAACGTCCAGTTTGCGTGTTTATATCGTTTCATATTCTCTTGTATTCCTCTGTTGGCTGATGCTAGAGTTGGTGTTGCATACATTATGCTTCTTCACCGCAGTTGGGCAACACCGACTTACACTGAAGATAGATCTAAACCTGGATGAAAGGCATTCCACATTATTTGAATTGCTCAGTTCTGTTTATCTGTTGCATATACTGCGTCAATTTTGCGTGCTTATTTCCTTTCAAATTCTGTATTGGTTGTTTGATATCCCCGGTGTGGCTGGGCTTGATGTGAATGTTCACAATGTGTCTATCTCTTGAAAGCCGTTTCCTTGATTTCATTGGCTGCGGGAGATAGTCGTTACTTGGAGAGACGGTGTGCACTGTTCGCATGACCGTGCTAGACTCAAAGAACGTTTCCATCCTGTGTGAAGCGGGCTACTGCCTCATTGAACTCCAGCCTCAAAGGTACGCGTAGATTATGACCATCGAACAAATCGGTCCAACGCACCGCGTACAGAAATATGAATAGATAAACTTAGATTTGCCGTGTTAGCGGACCAGAGCCAGATGAACAAGTGACATGTGTGCAATAGAAAATGTTTAGAGAAAAGTTTCCGGAATTAAATCATGCTGCACTCTTGTGTTAACTATTTTCCTAAACCAAACCCTATTTGTAGCTCACACAAACACGTGACAAAGCTTATCGAAGGAATCACATGTTCTTTTGCGTCAAATGCTTTTAGTGACCAGAAACGAAAAACACGATGCTTGCGGTTTGTTGCGTATGTTTGGATAATCCTATAATTGAAATGATCCAAACCTCTACTTAGAGGTTTGAAACGTGAGTCTTTCTGTCATAATATCAAAGGAATCGCTCTCTGTTTTAGGAATGAAATCGCTGAACTCGGGTTACAAATACGTAGCCCCAATCCAAGACCTGGGAAAAGACTAAATCTATCCAGTAAAATTACTACACAGGTGAAAAACGAACATCATTGCTGACAGTTACAGTGACGACATGCTGATTGAACGCTCTCCCAAATCTCATGGATTGCCGCAGGGCATGTAGAGTTATACACAAATTGCGTGAGCGCCACCGCAGTGACTGTCATTGACTAAGCAAGAAACTTGACCCCCTGCAGACAGTGGGACTGATGGCATTGCACACAGGCAGTCTTGCTTTAGCTTTGGCTCGTCTTTCACATAAGACAAATGCTTCCACAAGACAAATCACCACTCATAATGAAAAGTAGAATAAGTAGTTACCACGCAATCAAACGGCGTTGATGGTGATATCTTCAAACTTCCCAGTTCCAACTAACCAATCGTTAAAACGTAGTAAAACCGGCAGTAAAACCGCTGAGCTAAAATACGCTACGCAATTGGACTGAACATTCTAACAATTAGTCCTCAAGTCTTTCACGAAACTCATCTACTCCCCATGTTTGGCAACCTTGGTTACTGAGGTTAACATTCAGTAAAACACGGGTTTTGGAAGAGTTTTTCTTACTATGTTACATTGTAATGAACTCATCTGTCAGAGTCCACACTTCTCCGGACAAGTTATGGGCAGAGAAACAGATGTGGAAATCTGACACGATTGCCTCAGGTCGAAATGAGATGAAGAAATGGATGCTGGCATATGGGGTATTCAGATTGAAGTACAACGGAAAGAGGGAACAACACACAAAGGGATAACAAAGAATGAAAGCAAATCGCGGAGCTCTATGATACATAAGATATCGTGACTTTAAACGTCACTCGTATCAATGTCTCCGTAAACTATCACCCTAACAGGCAAAACATTTTCTACATTACCTTAACTATGCGTGACATGTGGATAATGTCACTGCTATTGTGGTATGACAATAGAAAATGTGGACCAATGGATGTACGAGTAAGACTATTCATTCTAATAGCACAGGCCCAACTACAGATAAGCCAGACTGTTGTCCCGACCTAGGTCAAACCACCGCGAAATCACACATATCAAAAATGTCACCAGACCGGTACTAACGATGCCGGTATGGCACAGCAACCTGAGCTACTAGTCAAATGCAGTATTGCTACACAATCTCTCAAGGGCCCTATGTTAAGTTAGCAGAACTGCGCCATCGAAGTGAAACAACAACTTGAGACATCAGAACAGAGAGTAAAACTTGGCTGTAAAGTAACATAATAGATGCAGAAATTAAGCGCATCGAATGTGCGGCAGCTACCGAGCATTCCCTTGTTAATCGGCCACAGGAGAAATGCATAATGACTGCTGTTGGTACTTGTCTACGGACCTCCAAACACTTCCGCAGACAGTAATGAAACTCTGTTAAACACTTCACTTTGTTGTTTAAAAATGTAGTTGCACCACCTTATGTTGTGCAATTTCTATGTACCCACAATAATATCTGCGTCCCCCAGTAGGGGTTCAGTTATACTAACCCTTCTTGATTTACTGAACATGTCGGTTTTATGTAACCATGTGGATCGACGTAACAGACATTGAGGATTAAACAAGTCCACTTCTCAACTGGATGCAGAGTCGATGGTTGAATCCGTTTCTTATGACCCTCCAATAAGTAGTAGTGATCACGCAGTCCTAAAATTGATGTGTCTTATGCCTGTATTGCTGATGAATGATGACAACCTCGACACATGATTACGGACCACTCCAATCTTGACAACTTAGTGCAAACCATTGATGGGAACCTCGAACTGCGAAGTTTATCCAACAATTCATGGAATGGTTTATATGGTAAACTAAACATGTTCATCGAAGAAAACATAACAATTGTACCAATAAGAGCATCACAATGGAATAACATCAGGATCCGAAGCGGAACGCGCCAATGCACTGGCTACACGGCTACAGAAACCATGCATACTTCCCATATCT